CCCAAATTCCGGGGTTTAGGTTACTGATTACCATCACTGAACAGCAGGTATTCATGGCTATGGGGTTCTACCTCATCCACTGTTCTTCATACACCGGTGTGTAATAAAAAAGTATCGTCAGCTACATAATGATGAGTGCTCTGTTTAAGTTGTTGATCTCATTTGAATAATCGACTCTGTCTTCTCTTTGTCTCTTTACCTTGTCAATCTTTAATCGATCTTAAACTCCTTCCGAATGTCCATTGTGTTCGTTATATACTGTAAATAAACAAAGCTATTTAGTACTACTCAATATCATTTATCGTATTACCCTTGTCCAAGTGATCATGTTTTTCTAAATGATATACGGATTTGAGAGTGTAATAAGAAACTGAGAATGTCTATTTGAGAAATTACATAATAGCTACCAAACAGCGCAGGTCGAGCTGGAGTGCTTTGTTTCCACCAGTCAGCAAGCCAATTGTACTTTCATACAGTTCCGACGGTGATACTTACTTCATATTCTGCATGTAGGTGGAATACATTTATTCACACAAGTGCATAATTAGCGCAGTTTTTTACCAGTCATTTCCTGTCGGTTTTTCCTTATCGCGTACCCCTTATCAGAAGAGTTTGCTTGATCGTTTCATTCCATTTTGCTCTCTTTGTTCTTCATTGATCACAACAACCCAAACTCTGAGGGCTTCGCTCTAGTGGTTATTTCTACCGACAGAGCATGAGAAGTACAATTGGCATTCGATTTCCCCTCCTCTACTTTAATAGGTAGGACAACTGAAAAGCGGCTCTTGTTTACTTCCAAACGGCGGCTATCGCGAAGATAGGCGAAATAAAGTGATCCCGTACACTTATTTGGACTATGGACCATACTACTCGTTTGCCCCGAGATTCGATAGCGGTGCGTCGCATTGTTCACCCGAAGCAAATCAGTTAATCCTGAGCACTTCTTGGCTCCCCGCTCGAACGGCTTTTCTTACCGTAAAGCCAAAACTTCCCAAATCCACATCCACCGATGAACTTCCAGAGGGTACACCGGACCCGGACGAAATCACCCAGGCCATTCAAACTGCGGCAGTCTGTTCGGCTTTGGAGGCCGGTGATCATCAGTTGGCTGTCTCGTTGGCCGTGATTGAAATGGAAAACCAAGCCACTTCAAAATTGTCCGCCGAACTAGATCAGATTCTCCCCGGTCCGGAAGTAGATGACGACTGTGTGTATGGTTTGTGCTTGGCAAACGCACTCACTCGGGACCTGCTTTCTGCCGAAACTTCCCAGAGTGCAAAAGATACTTTGGAAGATTTAGAGCATTCGTCCGTCGATCCGTCGGAATCTGTCACGTGTGATTTGGACCAACAAAAACCACCCTCTGATGAAATCCCAGGTAGGTGTAAGCTACACTGTCCCCTCTGTGCCTGATTTTCCCATACACGGGAATGAAGTGCTTGATGTAATTCAACTACTTTTACATGTTCAACAAGTACACCAATTTCCTATCACATGAGTGTCATACTCTCAGTATGTTAACCGGTCCATTATCAGAATGTGCCAATCAGGCCCAGCCTAACGCGATTGAAAAGAGCAAGTGCACAAACATGTGTCCTGTCGTTTATCTTGGTCACCTTAGTCCCAGACGCAGTCTGAAAAGGTATCATGGACTCCATTTTAGGCGACTAGATCGATGCACACACTTGAGTACTTTTCGATTGGACTTTTGCTACTCGTTTGCCGACCACATCACCTTGTGATGAATACAGAAGTTAGACCCAACAACCTGCATATATATATATA